CTGGCAAGAATATTGTATGTATACTTTTTACTCTGCCGAATAAATATTATTATTATTATTATTAACTCCTGCATACTCAAGATCTCTTCATTTGATGAGCTGTTAGGTAGTATAGTCATTAATCACAAGTAATTTTATAGAAGTTTACAAGTGTTATTTGTTAACCATTCAGGTTGTTGCAGACACATTGTTACAAAACAGAGGACAAAACCACCATGCACTTAAGGTCACTCCTGGATTACGCCTTCAAGACTACAGCATCCAGGCAGCTGTGACCCATCTTCAGATTGTTCTTAATGTAGTTGAACGGGAGTCGTTGACCCAGTGTCTGGCAATGTTGATGAGATCCCCAACTCAAATGCAGGTTAGAATTGCAATTGTTCTTCAAAATAAATAAATTCCTCTAGATATTATTATGACACTTGTGAAATAGTTTAAAATCAGTTTGTGTTATTGTCTGATAACTATTTTATGTTCCAGCAAGCTTATTTACCAGCAATGCCACAAGATGATCGTATGGAAGCAAGAGCAGCTCTTCATCAAGCGTCAACAGATCAGAACTTAACTTGGTACCGTAAGTAGAATTAAAATCTTGCTGCAGGTACGATCTTCTCAAGGCGACAATTTTATGGGCGACAATTTGTTTGTGAATAGATAGCGCAGTAGAAGAAAATGTGATGGTTGATCAAAATATAACATTATGGAAAATTAACACATGATACCAATAAAAAAAAACAATGCCTGAATTGACTGGTATAAACATAACCATAAACAGTATGTCAGTATATTAATTGTATTTTCTTAGGACAACAATATATTGCTATTAAAATCAGCATTCTATAACATTCTAGCTTCTACAACTTTTCAAAAAAGTTAATGTATTTCTGTTTTTATGCCATATGTTCTGCTGACATTTTTAAAAGTAGACCTGTAATATTAACCAGCCTAACCTAAAGTTTTGAGTGTTACTTAGATCTAAGTGCGCCAAAAGCGCAAAAAAAGTTTCAATATGTTCTTACCCGTAATAATTTTTTTTAATATAAACAGAATGTCCAAGTGGTCATCTATACACCATAGGAGATGTGAGTACACTTCAGTAATTTACCATTTGTAACAAGATTTTATTTTATTCAAGATAGTTTTACAAATGACCAAGTAGATTTTTAAAGTTTTTAATAGAATCTAAATTTTATAATTATAAACTTCAAATATACCAGCATCATTAAAATAATCATAATTTTATATTTTCAGTGCGGCAGACCGTATGCAACAGGACGATGTCCGGAGTGCAATGCGCAGATTGGAGGAGAACAACATCGAGCTCATTCTGGGAACACGCCAGCAAACATGTACTTTAATTTTTACTATTATCATGTACAGTAATGACTAATTGTCATTACCTGTAATAATTATTTATATTGAACACTCTAAATTTAAATATATTACTGTAATAATGTTAACTAGCAAAAAGACCAATCTTGGAGTTTGTCATTACTCAATAATTTATAGATACCAAATGCAAGATTTTTTTTAGGCCATATACTGTATATGTCGAATGGCATTTTTGCTACATCTATAAAATTAGAACAGCCATTACATTTACGTTTATTGTAAATGGAAGAAAATCACTGAAATGATGTGTTCGACTACCCACTGAATATCGCCTATATGCAAAGGTACCATAAAACCATTACCTGCTGATTAATGAATGTTACATTTCAATGTTCTGTTTTAAATACATATTTGCTTTTCCAAACAGGATTGATACAACGTCCACTGGTCATGTACTTGGAAACCCACAGATTCAACAGGGCAACCAGATTGTGTGTGAACGAACAATGAACTGCATGGCAACTGCTGTTGTCCGGTTCTTGTTGCATGCTAGCATGCTGCTAGGAACAGAATGCCAACAGGGACCACAGGTTAGGAATTACAGTACTGTATATTACCTTACCTTTCAGTAGACTTTGTCCTAAGTTAAAAAATAAATAAATAAATGAACATGCAAAACAGGCTGCATGCACAGTTTACTAGCATCACATGAGTTTTGTTGTTAAGTGTGAATAAAATACAAATAAATGTCTCAATCCGGTCTAATATGAAAATAATTTTTTAAGAACAATAACTCTGCAATCAACTTCGAGCATGAGATGAAAACAATTACATTTTTGCTGAGTCGAACACTTTTTTTATAAAAAAAATTCATAAATTGGTTACCAGTTATTATACAGTTGGTCCTATTTTCTAAGAACGGGGAGTTTTCAATGTGTGCTAATATGCAATGCTAGAACAGATTCACTCATGCTTGACCATCCTACACTTTCTGAACAAAATAGAGTTCAGCAAATTGCATCCTAAAATCCATGCAACCGCGAGATCGTATGCGCAGATGAATTCATGTGACGTCAATGCATTGTACGTCCTACGTCATCGTGCAATCGAAAGCTCTTTAACATAGGAACTGTATTTGTGTTTTTAGATTGGCAGGAAAAGTATTTTCTAGATCTTATCTCAATTTGAAAACAAAAATTTGCTTTCAAATACTTAATTTGTTTAGTTTATTAGGTTACACAGAATTTTATTTAAATATGTGAGAAAAAAAATTCTTATTTCTATTTCAGCCAATCATCAATATAATCAAACCAGCTCCACTTAATGTGCTTGAGTTTCTATGGCAACATTTGCATAATGATGTAAGGTTGTTGTCGATAGCAACAGGCAAGAACAGGGATGATTGCATCTTCATCCTTCACAAAGTTATTGACAACATTTTGCACAAAAGAGTCCCAGGTAAAGTCCTAGAAAATGGAAATTGTATAATAGCAATATTAATAATTAATTCAATTCAATGATGATGATGATGATAATAATAATAATAATAATAATAATAATAATAATAACAATAATAATAATAATAATGCTGATAATGATAATGATGATTACCACAGCAGTGTTGGCAGTGACAGCAACTGCAACATTGATAATACTAATTTTGATTGCATTTATAGCAGACAAAACAATGTAACAATAAAACAAATTTAAAGAAAATATATAATAATAAGAATTAATATAAATTTCAAAATTTAATGAAAAATAATGATATTACAGTGATTCAGTGTTTAAAGTGAAAAGTTATGTTTGAAATTGGATTAATTTTCACAAGGAGAAAGAGTAACTTTACCTTGGTTGTACTGAGCTGCGGCTAAACAACAAATTGTAGAATTTGTGCATGTTTGTGGGCTTAATTCTTAATACAACAAAAGTAATATATTTTCACAATAAAATATTTTTCTAGCACACTTTCAATCTGGCTTTCAACAACTGTTGTCATCGAAGCAATGTCGAAAAAAATGGGAGGAAAATTTTACAGCTGCGTACATCACACCTCTGCTCCAGGTAGGATTAAGATTATTATACTGTATAGCAGTAATAATGATGATTTTGTTACTGATGATATTCATAATTAACTAATGGTGCTTAATATTCGTTTCCAATTAATGATTAAAATAACTTATGAAATTATTAAACTAATCTGTAGGGACTTAATGAAATGATCGACCAATCAAACCAGACTCTGGTCTCTGACAAACGTCTCAGCGATGATCCTCTGATGCGACTGCTGCACACGTCGAATGTTGTGAAGCCTGAGGACCTTGGTCAGCTGGTGGAGACATCACACGTATGGCAGTACCGTAGTCGTATCACCATTCAGTGCATCCATCAAGCTTTGGCAAATGAAGAAGATGGCGCTTCACTGCAAGTCCTCAGACTGTTTATGGAAAAGGTTATTATCCACTTTCTTTCACTTGCATCTTTGCTGCTCTTTCTTGTGAAATGTAGGATGTAAATAGAATAAGATACGATAACCTACTTTTACTGCCATAATCACAACGGAGACCATCATACTGTAGTTACTGTAGGAGAATTTGTAAAAATGCAAATGCACGCATGTCAACCGACATTTTATATTATTCATATTAATGTTTGAGGGAGGCAGTTGGTGCAGGGGTTTGCTGCTTAGGTTTTCATCCTTGTGGTTCAGAGTTTTAGACTCAAGCTGTCCACTTAAAGAAAGTAGAAATGTCTTTATAATCATTTATTGCATCACAATATATTTCCATGAAAGTTGGTGTTGTCAGAAATTTAGTAAATAAAACACGTCTGATCGTCTAGTTTTTAAATTCTTCTGGAGCTAATATTTACCACTTTTTATTACTGTTTATGCACAGGAA